CATTTGTGTGCACAAACAAAAGATTCCAGCTTTTAGTTTTGTATAAGTCTATCCTTTCTATTAATGCAAGGATGTTTGTAAATTTGGGCATGCTTATATTGTGCGTGTATATAAGCGATTTGTTTATGAGCTTTGTGACTCTTTATTTCTTTCTGAATAAAAAATAAAGAGGGATTAATCTTATATTATAAAGATTTTTCATGGCTTTCATTTTTATGAGTAACTCTTGTGCGGGTCGTTTTGTGGTTCAATCTAGAGAGGTGCACACTAGGTCCCCGTTGGGCAAAAGATTTTTTGAAATTATTTCTGTTTAATTCCTTACCCAGAGACTAGCTGTATGATAACATAGTTTGAAGGTACTTTAATAATGATTGGTGCAAGATTGCTAGAGATAATTTCTAGTTTAGTGGTTTTGGTGGGAAATTCATTTTTTGATGATGAGAGAAGTCTCATAGATTGGTCTTTGGAGGTAGAAAAATAAGTGGAGATTTTTCTATGAGTCATTGTGCAAAAGAAATCAACAAGATGACTTAGCCATGTAAATATATATCCTGAAGCATTGATGCAATCTCAACATACTAATGACACTCTATGAAGAGTTGAATGTTCTTGAACCAAAGTATTTTGCTGGAGAATGTAATCCAAAGAAGCTAGCCTTATTTTTTTTTTTTTTGGAATTTAAAGCACTAATTTGTTGTTGCTTTATTGTTGATTTAGAGGGTGAGAATGACAAGCTTATATCTTATAATTAATGTAAAATTTTAGGACAGACCAAAGTTTCTAATGATCTTGTTGTTGGGACATCTCATATGACTACAAGAGAGATATTGATGAAAGAATTTTAGAGAATTTTATTCCAAGCAACTTAAACTGAATTGCTTAGACTGTACTAACTCGCACGAGTATTTTTAAGAATTATTTTCCTTAATTTTGGAGAGTCGTCAGATGATAAAAGAAGATGAGTTTTATAAATTCTCTTGGGTTTGCAACCATATGCTAGGTGGAGTTGAAAGGAAAATAGGTGCAAAATTTTCCTAGTTGGGTTTTTGCTGTGAAAAAAAAAGTGGATTTGAGTCAATGAGTTGTTATTTTCTCCCTTTAAAAATATATGAAATGGAATGATAATTAAACAAAGATGCATCAAAGGAGAACTCACAAGATAATAGAACTAAGATTTCAATTTTAGTATTAGAATAAAAGATAAAGTTCCCTGCAACACTTATCCATAAAGGATCATATCAAGTGAGGGATTGCATGATGCACGAGCAAGTGAATGTAATAGTTATTCGAACATGTAATGAAGGGGGTGAGCAAGAGGATGCAATATTCATAAACTCGTAACTATTATATAGTTTAAAATAGGATCAATTTGTGATGCTTCTATGCTAATGTGTATTGATTTAGTTAACGATAACATTATTGTTGTTGCAATGGTGAACATTGTTGAATATCTCTATGGTAGATTGGTTGGTGGAAAATCTTGATTTTTAGTAGAGCAAGATTCCAAGCAAATGTAATATCATTATATGAATAATCTATTATTAATATGATTTATGACATCCATCCAAATTGGAATTCTGAATGGATATCATTGTCATTAGATATTCTGATGTTTCAAGATAGAGCAGGATTAATTTGTACTTATGATCCAACATGAGTGAAATCATTCCATTGTGGCTGGGTGGGATTAGCCATTTTTGAGGAGATTTTGGAGTAAACATCAATGTCATTGTGCCATTAAAGGAGAACATAAGCATTTTTGATAGGAGTAATAGTTTTTTTTTAATCGATGTTAAGCCAATTATGAAGATGCTAATGCCCAATTAGAATACAGAAATGGTGGAGGAGCTTGATGTTAATATCAAGGTATTGCTGAATTTGACTCAAATCTAGAAGGATATGATAGATATTGATTCAATATTTGGAGTTAAATGCAGTATGAAAGAATTTCTATGGAAAGCAATTGTTTACCTCCATAAAAATTAGATGATGAAGGTAGTTTGTCACACCTTGATTATCATGGATGGAGATGTTTGCAATTAGGTGATTTTTTGCAGCTTGAGTGAGATAAGATAAATTTTATGACTATATAAAGTTACTTTATATTTAATTACACATGTAGATATAGAAGTCATGTGGATGGATGATCCTATTGAACAATGAGCGAAGTGTTGTACATCGCAACATACAAGTCTAGAAGCCCCACATTTTAAATTGTGCGCGTGTTAAGGGAAGTACGCGCACGATGGCTAGTGTTTCAATGATGGCTTATAGTGGTTCATGTACATAATTGGCTGTGCACATGTTGTTGTACGTGTATAATTGCCATGTGTTTGCAAGAGTGTGCATTGGTGCAAGCTTGTAATTTCTTAATTTTGCGGAACTAATTCTTGTAGTTGTGTGTGCTTGTATGTGAATATGCTTGCAGTGACTTGTCAATTAGAAGTAGTTGGATACATGAAAATGATCATAAATGTCTTTGTTACTTGCACATTAGTGTGATTGAGTCGAGAGAATTAAGTGTTAGTCTACAAATCAGTCATCATGCAAATATGACATAACGAGCATGTATAGAGGTGTTGTTTGTTTGTGTGATTGACCACTGAAGTATGAAAAAATTATAGGAGCATGTGTTAGATGTGCCATTTGTGAGAGTGTCCTGTCCTTTGTACATAAAGAATTTATGCATCATGCATATGCAGAGATAAATGTCATTAGAGGAAACAATTAGCCTTATTGACCTAATCATACCTTTTATGATGGCATGTGAAAATGATTTGCATTATATTGTATAATTCAATATCAGATGTGGTGATTTGCTAACATGCAGTTAACTAGTTTGAATGCTGGTATTGTTCCCGTGTATTGGTTGATTATTAGTACATGATGATGCGGAGTGTGGTGAAATAACAATGGTTACTTGCTGAATTATATGCTTTTGACTTATGTCTACTTTTAAGGGGATCTCTTAGAGTGAATAACTAGAGTAAAAAGATAACAAAATGGTTGTATAAAGGTGTATGCTAAGTACATAGAGGGATAAGAAGTGCTAATCATTTGCAGAGACCTTAGTCAAATTTTGCTGTTATTGAAATCTTAGCCATTAGATAGAGGCTGTATATTTGTCTTGCTTAAATGAGCATACACTACAGTGTCTTTTTCTATTTTCTGAATTCTCAAGTTCTTTGTGTAGTTTTGCTCATGTGGTGCACATGCTGAACTTGTTGGCATTCATTAAAAGTGAATTTTATAATCTAACAGAAGCTAGAAATAATATTCATTTTTATCTCTTAACTATTTTTTGTCTGCTTTGTATATGCTAGCTTAAGAAGATGCATAAGGTTGTAAGCCCATGTAAGATATACTGAAATATGGAGAGTTATGAAGGACATTATAGTGATTTGGCTTACTAATCTTTTCAATATAATTTTTTAAGACTAAAGAGGTTATCAATTATTTCAGTTTTTCAATATTTTTAAATAATTATAGAGGAGACCATTTCAGAGTTATGAGAGTGAGTAACAAAATCTATACTTTAAAATACATGAATTTTGGAAAAATTATTTGATTTTATTTAAAAAATGTCAAGTATAGAAGTAATTTTTTTTTTTGGAAGATGGTTAAAAAGAGAAGTATAATAAGCAAAGAATGAGTAATGAAATTCGTGGAACAAAGTTCAAGTGTGTAATGTATAATTTTATTTGATATGATATTAATACTTATCATTCAATATTTTTTGGAAAATGATGTGATATCTTTATGTGGTATTCATAAATAGTTGAGATCTTTTATACATAATAATGAAGATATTTCTTTTAGTTTTAAGATTGGATAATCAAAATGGAGAAGCTTCTCGATTGTTGTGCGATCAATGGATATCATGAAAAGTTAGAAAAAACTTTTATAAAATTACAAATAAAAAGGTGATAATATATGAATTTGAATGTTGGGCTATACAGAATTCATTGATTTTTTAATTTAGTGTGACAAATGTAGAAAGAATAGATCAAAGAATGGTTATATTAAAAGGAATATAGAAGTGTTACCTTTTCAAGATAGGGTGATTAGAAATAGACTTGAGTTGCTTGAGTATTTACAATAAATGGTAAACAATGTGCCTGTTGAGTGAGTTCATAAAATGTGTGGCAGAAGATTATTAATGAAAATGTGTAGACCTATGGTTAAATAGACATATTATTCAAAATAATGTGTGAAGAATAAGTTTAGCATTATATATAATATTCAACAAAATTGAATGAATATATAAATTGACAACTTTTACCTCAACTAGTTATGATAATTCTAATGATGAAGAAGATGATGATTTTGCATATGCTATAAATTTTTTTAGGATTGAAAATAGATATTGTTTTCCAAGTTAATGATGGGCGAAAGTGTGGTGAAATATAATATTGTAGTAATCAAGAAATCCTAGGCACAAGTATAAACACATCTTTTTTTAGACAATATGACAATGAATAGGCAACCAGCAAATGATGTGTTGATATCTATGTTATTACTTCTGAGACCGGTGGTAGGGATATGTAATCATGAAAATCTCTAGAGATGGTCAAGAAGTGTGCAGTTTATCTTATTTTTGCACGGACTTCTTTTAATTACTTTCCGTAGTTCATTTTGATACCATATATTGTTATCATTTTTATACGGTGTATATCTTGAAATGAACCTGTATATAATGAAATTTTTGTTTCATTTTTTTTTAAGTTAATCATTACAGTACTATTAATTGAAGGTTTGGGCTTATCATTAACCATCCTCATCTGGTATGGTATTTAGCATGTATGTCCTAGCCTTTTGCCTAATTATCTGCATATTCAATACCAAAATTTTAACAACCTTTTACTAAGATATTTAAACGATATAACAGTCTGAGAGATCCGTCTTATCTCTAGGAAAAATTACGGAACTATCAAGAAATAACTTTTTTTTTATTTCACATTAAACTGGAATTGATTTTTATGTTTTTGAATTGTCTCTAGATCTACTTGCAGCTTAACAAAATGGATTCAGCTAAAAATGGAAAAAGCATTACTCGAAGTCAAGAAGAACAAGGAACGTTGCCCCTAAAATGTTCTAATACAAAGAATCAATTCAGTCTTTATAACATCACTTCACAGGGAGAAGTACTAAATGTTGAGCATCCCCAAAATATATTTGTGAAGTTCCTCAGCGCGAACAGTAGTTTTTCATCTTATTTAAAGCCTTGGAGGTTATGGGATCAAACAGGAGAAGCTTCTGGTTCAGTTCCTTCAATAAATTCTAGTCCCTCCAAACACTTTCCAATCCCCTTTATCAGAAAAATAAACTGGGATATTTTGTGGGTTATGTACAAAATTTGGATAAAAAAACCTATAAACATGGCTCTTTTTATCTGGTTAATAGGTGTTGCTATTTCTGGTGCCATCCTATTTATGGTCATGACTGGAATGCTAAATAGTGTTTTACCAGAAAAATCCCAACGGGACCTATGGTTTGAAGTCAGTAATCAATTCTTGAATGCTCTATTCACACTTATGTGTCTTTATCAACATCCGAAGCGATTCCATCACCTAGCACTTTTGTTCCGCTGGAAAGCACAGGATGTTCTGAGGCTTAGAATAATATATTGTAAAAATGGAATGCAGAAGTTTAATGAGAAGATGCATATTTTTGTTGTTGTTCTCTTTCTCCATCTGAATTGTTTTGCCCAATATGAATTGTGTGTTCTCAATTTAAGCTACTCCAGATCAAACCGGCCTGTTGCTGGAGTGGCCATTGGCACGGTCATTTCGTTTAGTTCAGCAGCTATTGCTAGTCTGTACAGCATTCTAAGTCCAATTGGTAGAGAATATGCAGCAGAAACTGATCAAGAGTCACGTAGTCAGATTTCCATTTCTTCTGAAGAGACAATTGACCCTTTTATGTTGAAAGACCGAAGATTTGTTGAAGCGCCGCAATGGATTGGGAGGCTCTTTGATTTCTGGGATGATGTTTGCTTAGCTTACCTCTCAATGTTCTGTGGCTGCTGTTTGTTTGGATGGAACATAGAACGGCTTGGTTTTGGCAACATGTATGTTCACACATTGACTTTCCTCTTGTTTTGTCTTGCCCCTTTCTTCATTTTCAACTTGGCGGCCATTAATATCGATAATGAAGCAGTTCGAGAGGGATTGGGCATCATAGGTGTTGTAATTTGTGTTTTTGGTTTGTTGTATGGTGGTTTTTGGAGGATTAAGATGAGGAAGAAATTTAATCTTCCTTCAAATCATTTATGTTGTGGTAAGCCAGATATTACAGACTGTTTTCTGTGGCTTTTTTGTTGCCCATGCTCATTAGCACAGGAGGTTAGGACTGCTGATTACTATGATGCGATCGAGGGTAAGTTTTTCATGAAGAAAAATATTGATGATGACAAGTTTGAGTTGGCTCCTTTGCCTCGGGAAAATGGATCTATGATTTTTAAGTCTTGCAATGACTCTCCTTATTGGCAGACCTCCAGTCCATCCATTTTAAGGATGGAATGAGCAGAAAATTACAGCAGTTTTCCTGAATGTAGACGAAGTCACTTTTAGCTCTGTAATACTGCTTCATCATTCTTTCATACAAAGAGAAAAAAATTCAAGTACTTTCTTAATAAATTGATTTATTTATTAGCTCTGCTTAATTATGTTCTATTCACTATGGTTTTGGAAGTTTTTGGTATTGTGTTATTTTAATTTCATAGATAAGCAGGATGACTGCATTTTATTGATAGAATCATTATTTATTCAATTAAAGTGGGAATCGATACTTTTTCAAAGAATATATTTTATTGTCATGAAAAATAACGTGCGGAGATAAAGGAACAATCTTGTTTGTTTTTAGGTTATTATATTCAGTAAGATGCATCTTGTTCTTCCGTAGATCTAACAAATGCTTTTCTTTTTCCCTTTTTTCGAAGGAATTTTTAGATTCCAACATCTATGCCTTGGCAGCTTTCAATCCGCTGTCATATAAAGCTAGATTGCAGAATAATTTTCATGTAAAATGAAGAGCAAATATATGCAGTTTGATACATTCAATTCATTTTGAATGGCTGAAATTAATTTTCATTTATTGTCCAACATATATATGTAAATGATGAAGTTCAGCTGCTGTAATTTGTAGCAGAGAATTGCAGCTAAAATGATACATTAATGCTAATAACAGTAATGTAAAATGAACTTTTAGAAGGCATTATTCTGCACTCTTATTCCTTAGGAATACATCAGTAAATATAGCCTTTTTATGCTATGAATATGTGGTGTTGATTTTGTGAGGCAGCTATGAGGACAGTGGGACTACACTCCCATGTGAAGGTCAAAAATGGATGCATTCTATTGTCTTTTGTCAGGCCCACTCAAACTTAGGATTCCAGTGAATGAATTTTGTCCCTTAGTTTTTGAAAATTGGATATAGATATACTCTTAGTGAAAATGTTTGCTAATTGGAATTTTGTAGTTTTCTCTAATTTGTAGATTTCTTGAGGCAATGCAGTCCCTGATAAAATGAAAATCTACTTTTATATGTGTTTTCTTTCTAAAGATGGAGTTGTTTGCTATAGCTATGGTGGATGTATTGCCACATAAAATTTTTATTGGTTGATTTAGCTTAGTCTCAATTCCTATAGAAGACTAAGAATCCAAACTAGTTTTGCTATGAAAACTGCGAGGGCACGTTTCTCCACCTCCGTTGATGATCGAACTACCATTGTTAGCTTCTGACTATTCAAAGAATTAGTGTTGAGCCTAAGAAGTAGTAGCCCATTGCTGATCTTCTGTATATGTTATTGCTAGCCCAATCAAAATCTAAGCAGGTTGTAGAGTAGTCCTTTCTTATTGATGTAAATGCTTTTCTTGGTGGTATATTTAAGGTTTCTGAGTACTCACTTAATCATTTGGTAATGCTGATTCAGGGGGGATTGAATGTGCTGATAGATTTGGTTGACTATGAAAGCTATGTCCAACTTAGGTGAGTGCTAGATATTGTAGGGTCCAACAATCTATAGTGTGGTGTTTTGGAATAGCAGCTGGGATTGAGTAGCTATGGGTGGTTTGATGAGTGTTGGTGTTGCAGTAGGTTTGCAATGTTGTATTTCTATTTTGTAAAGGACTTTAAAAATATAGTTGCATTGATGAAGAAATTTTTTCTGATGTGTGTGCTGAAAGTGAATGTCTAAAAATGTGGATATGCGGCCCAATTTTCTTAGGTTGAATTTTGTATGCAGATTTTGAGTGTTTTCCTAGATGAAATTTGAACCATCTATTGAGATTTGGATGTTATCTACTTATATTAATTGATAGATGTCATGAGTTACATTTTGCGAAGTACAGATGGTTTACAAGGCTTATTAACGTGAAATTGCTCTCTGAGGTGTCCTGAAAATGATGAATGTCATTGTCTTGGTGCTTGTTCATAAATTGCATACATGGTTTGGATGTTAGGAATTTTAGAATCCCGGTGGCTGAAGCATGTACATTGTCTTCTAGAGTGCTATGAAAAAAGGCGTTGGAGATGTCTAGTTGAGTCGCTAGCTATCCATACTTGAGAGTAATTGAGAGAAACGTTTTTATTGTTAACATTGTGGCAATGATTGAATGTCTCATCATAGTTGATGCCATATTTTTGAGTGTTTTCTTGAGCTACTAGCCTTGCCTTATGATGAACAATGGACACATTTGAGTGTAGCTTTTTTTTTAATGTCCATCCACATCCTCAAATTGATTCATTTGATGGTTGTTTGAGTAGCTCCCAAGTGTCGTATTGTTGAATGGCCATGAATTCACCAGACATTGCTTTTCTCCACTGGGATCTTTAAGTGCTTGAGCGTAATTTGGAGGATTTTGTGAGGTTTGTAAGTAATGTGTGAGGTTGAGAATTGTTTTGAAATTTTATTATCATATTTTAATTTAGTGATCATGGGATCTCAAGGATGAGATGTAAGTAGATGATATGTTGAAATGTTATGTTGAGGATTTTTTATGGGTATGGTGGTGTTTGTTGTAGTATTTGAGTTGTTGGGATTGGGCGTTGTGGTGGTGTTAGAGTAATTGGCATAATTTAATTTTATGGGATTGGATGTGAAGGAAATTACCAAAAAGGGGTGGGGGTGGATGTTGGAGGTTATTGTTCTTTGAGGGAATAATTTGTGAGAGACATAGGAAACGTCCTATTTATTGAAAATCACATTTTGATATTAATATTTTGTATGTGGAGTGATCCACAAAAAATTAGACTTTATGTATTGTGGAGTACCCTGCGATCACATAATGAGGTGTTTTGGAAGCAAGATTATGTGGTGCTAATGAATTTTTTAGGAATTCATGTGCAACAATTGATTCTAAGATGATTATATTTGTGTTTAGATTTGTGCAGGATAAAGTAAAGGGTGTCCATTCCAATGGTCTTAGTAGTTAATGTTTTAATGATGCTCACAACTATTGTAAATGCATAAATCCATAATTATTATGCCTCTTAGGCTACTTTTTGCAGTGTTTAGATCGTCTTCAGAAGGTGGCAACTTTTTTGTTCATTCACCCCATTTTTTTTCAATGAAAAGGGGTGACTTATGTGACGTAGTTTGTCGTTGAATTGAAGATTTGTATTGAATGCATTCGATGTGTATTATCCTCCACCATCAGTTCTCACAATTTTGAATATTGTGATTTGTAAATAGTTTTTGGAGTTGAATGGATTTGTTAAGCATTTTAGATTTTAGAGCCATGAAAAAATAACTATAAAACATAATATTTTAGCCTTGTGGGGAGGCAATATGGGCTGCACTCCTTACATCAGAATGGATTAGATGAAGTGAATATTTTGATCTAGTGTAGATACAAGAAAAGCTAGTTTATGGCTTTTGGAAGCTTATAAGAAAAAAAATTGGAGAAACTGAGATATGGATATGGTTAAGAGGGCTACTTGATATGGATGTCTTGCTGTCAATACCATAAATAGACTAAAGTCACAATTGAGGATTGTTTAAGAGGCCTACGTGATATGGTTAAGAGGGCTACTTGATATGGGGCAGGGTCCTTTATTGTTGTGTCCCTTGAGGATTGTTTGATTTTAGGTACAACCCTTAATCTGAAAACCATCAACGTCAAAAAGAATTGAGCAATGATTATCATCAGTGAGCTTGTGAACTTACCATATGTAAACTGGAGAGAGAGCTTACATGTTGTTTCCTGTGTAAGAGATGCAGAGACAATTACCATCTCAAATTTTAACTTATTATGTTCCATTATATTACATTGGTTTTTGTAATTGTGAGTAGTCATTTTGTGAGATGTGAGGAAGCTCCAATGTCCGGTATCTAGTCTACTGAATGCTGAGAGGAGCTGGCAACCAATGTTGCATTTTTGCTAGATGATGTTGGAGTGTATGATAGATTGGCTTTATGCCAACATATGAATGTGAGATAACCTCTCTTTCCACAAATTTCACAGATCAATGAGGATTTATGATTGTTGTATTGCTTGTTTTGGTTGAGGTATGTTTAGTTAGGGAAGATTGTCTTTGATGACCTATATTTGTAATTCTTGAGTTGTGGCCTCTGTAAGAAAGTGGATCCATTGAAGGTCTGTTTGTTGTTTGTTGTTCTCAACTTGGATGTTTACCTCTCCATTTTTGAGAAGTGTGTAGAGGCCATCTTGATGAATTTGTTCTAGCCTGGTCCCGATGGTTATTTTGAACGATTGATATGTTGTTGGAAGTTCATTGATTATATAGAGTTGATTGTCCTCTTAACCGAGTTTTCATTCAACGAAAGAAAGTTGATCAACCAAGAGCTTCATGTGAGTAAGATATGGGTCATTGTATCATTCTTCATCATAACTTGATGAAGTTAATTCGTTAGTTGGATCACTTTAGATATATTGGTAGATTGTAACCATTTGATGAGGGTTTACCATATTGTTTTTTTGGAATCTAGTGAAAGAACATGTGGCAGTATGGTGGGAGATATGTTTAAGTACAGAGCTATTGATAGATTTTGATCTACAATATTTCATAAGATGTGATATGGATTTGGAATGGGTAGTGTTGTGGTGCTTGTTAGGAATTATGGTTGATTGATTGAGGTCCCATATAAGAATGCTTCAAAACCATTAACAATGATAGGTTTGAGTGTTTGAGAGCTCCAAATATTATAGTTGTTAGTTTTGTGTACTATGTTTGCTAGGGATTTAATGTTGGTTATAAAAAATGTCAGGGAGGGGGGATAGGTATAATGGTGGTTTTCTGTAAGAAAGTTGATTCACCTTGATTTGATTGAGAGGTGTCTATTGATCGTGAAAAAAAGATGTATACCATGTATTACTGTTGAAAGAATCTGAGTGGGTAGGATATTTTTATAGCTCCGATACCATGATGAATTTGAAATAAAGAATTATGATTGAAATGATATATAATTACAAATAACAGTAACGTAAAAATAGCTTCTACAATTCACTATTCTGCCCTCATATTCCTTTAGAATACATCACTATATATTCTTTTTTATGATATGCAAGTGTCATGTTGATTTTATGAGA